TTTTTCTGTAAAGCATTACTTTGAATACTTTATAATGCGACCCTGACAGACAATAACACAAAACACATACAAGAGAAACGAACAAGAAGGAGACGATGCAGTTGCAACGAACCGCGAACGAGGACAGTCGATTGGACATAAGACATTTTTCGATATTGAATGTTAATAAAAAATCTACGCAGTAACTTCAAAAAGACGAGTGTACATTTTATTTGACTCGGAATTCTTGACACCATGTAAATGCACCATTATTGTTTTTATATTGAAACAAAGTGCTGGCTCATAACTTGGATCATATATGACTCCTAAAAGATTCATATAAAAGTAAACATTTTTTTGTTTTTGAAACTCTATTTCTTACCCATGATACATGGTACCATGATAAAAATATAGCAAGGTAGAACCGTTCTCTCAATTCGTTGGCCATGATTTTTTTTTGAAGTTTGCCAACATTTTAAAATCATATAAAAGTGAAAATAAAAAAAGTAAATTGTTCAAAATTGTTGTTGCTTGAGTTTGAAAATGAAAATGTGTGTGTGAGTTTGTGAGTAAATTTAAAAATGAAATTGTTTGGAAACGTCAAGAATTTGAAAAGTGACTCTCAGCGGTTCTACCTTACTGTATTTTTATCATGCATGGTACAATAATTACAGGTAATGTCTTCCCAGAGAGTTTTGCTTCACATCGAAATTCGTGCTCCCTTATTTTGATTTTGACGCAGTTCAATGTTGATTCCTTTACTTTTAGTTGGCTTTGCTTTTTGTTTTCGCTCAATTTAATTTTTATAATTTTTCAAAAGAAAAGAAAAAACGTTTGAAATGAAGTGAGCCATACAAATTTTGAATTTATTTACTAAGCAAATGTTTTTTTTTCGGCTTTTGCAAATTAAATAAGTCCTCTGCAAGAAAGTTTGTTAAAAAAAGTGCATGTACATGGTATATGGGGTATGGAAATATTCCTTTTCTCTAGCAGAAAACCTTTTAGTGTGGGCAACAATGATATTTTTCAAATAAGGCAGATCGGAATATGCGCTCTCTGGGAAGACATTACCTGTAATTATTGTACTATGCCCATGATACAAGTATTTAAAGGTAAATCCGTTCTCTCAATTCATCGGCCTTGATTTATATTTTGAAGTTTGTCTCCTTTATAAAATTGAAATTTTCAGAGCAACTCAAATGCCAAATAAAAGTAAAACAAAAAATAAATAGATGAAAATGACGCCATGTATGTGGTGTTTGCTTTGCTAACATCAGAGAAAACACTTCCAGTATACTTTGTACCGAGTGCAACAAGTGGATCCATGCAAAATGTACAAAGATTGATAAGGTTGAATTCAACAAAATTGCCAATGACATCAAATACAATAACTTAAAGTGGAAATGCAATGGTTGCGAAAGTGAGGTTAGCGTGATAGTTGGTGGCGATCAGCATGTTGACCATGACGATCTAATCGTTAGAAAAATGGAGAAGATGTTCGAAAAACATTTCTATGCTTTCAAAGAAGACATCGAGAACAAATTGCTTACCATTCGGTCGGAGCTGAACAACATTGTCAAACAAAATAACTCACTCAATACATTGTGTACACAGCTAGACGATAGGGTCAGCACCGTTGAATCGAAATTAACAACGTTCAGTACATGCGATCCAGGCAGTGAAGAGGTAATCGCTGAGATCAATGAACGTAGGAAACGAGCTAAACAAGTCGTCGCATTCAACGTTCCAGAGTCTAAAAAACCATCTGGTTCTGAACGTTTAAGCGACGATCGTGCTCTCTTGGTCCCACTGATTCCACAGGAGCTCTCCAACACCATTCCCGAGCTAAAAAATTCGCAGGTTGGGGCGTCCAATTGCTGGGAAAACCCGTCCCATGCTTATAGAAGCCCCCTCCGAAAGTGCTGCTAGATCAATACTGAAATTTAAACCACCATCTTGCACCGACATACGTATAAAACCGGACTTAACACCAGCG